AGGGGGATGGAGCTCCCCCTCCCAAGTTTTCCCCGGGGGGGAAAAAAAAAAAAAAAAAAAAAAAAAAAAAAAATAAAAATCAATCCTGGGCTCTGGGCAGAGGGAGGAAGAGGAAGGAGGATGATGGCTGCAGCCCCTCATCCATCTACCAGCGGAGCCCCCAGGCCCCCGGTGAGCGTAGGAGTCTCTATGTACATGTCCGCTTACACCGGGCGGAGAGGGCTCTCATGGAAGGGGGGGGATTGAACGTCAGGGGCCGCGGAGGGGGCCGCGGGGAGGGGCCAGCAGCCCAGGGCCATCACATGGCCGCCAGCTGGCCCAGCACCATCCTGAACTGCTGCGTGCTGTTAGCGAGGTCCTTGACGCGCTCCACCATGTCCTTGGAGGCGGTGGGAGAAGGGTAGTGGAGGGCGGCCGCCTTGGTGGTCACCACGATCTCCTTGAGCATCTCGCAGAGGAGGTTGCTGTAGTGCATCACCTTGTGCTGGACGTCCTGGGCCTTGGCCTGGCGGGACAGTGTGTCCCCGATGAAGACGAGCTTGTGGGCGCTGAGGATGACGAATTTGCTGTGGGCCACGAAGATCTTGGGGGGCTGGTTGGTGCTGACGGCAGTGAGGAAGGCGTCGACGGCGTTGGTGAGGGTGGTGAGGTTGGCCTCGCACTGCTCCAGGTAGAAGAGGAGGAGCTGGCGGTCGGCGGGACACAGGGCCCCACCACCCCGCGCCGGGCCGTAGTGCTGGGGGGGGCTCCAGTTGGACAGGTCGTTGTCGATGGGGCGCGTCACCTCCTGCTCCAGCCGCTCGAACTGCTTCAGCTGTGGGAAGGACGAGCGTGAGGCAGGATGGCCATCAAGATGGCGCCCGCTCCCCTCCCTGGAGCCACCAGCATGGCCACCAGCCCCAGGTGACGGCTGCGCCCCAGGGAAGACAGCAAGGGACAGTGCCAGTCCCAGGACAGCCGTGTCAGGCTCCTCTCCAGGAAGAAGGTGCCACACAAGAGGTGGCAGTGGTCTGGACTGGTGGGAGGGTGTCCAAGGGGAGCAGGACCCAAAGCCCCCTGCCCGCCCTGGCCCCGTTACCTGCTGGTGCTGCAGCTGTTCCTTGCTCTGCCGGATGATGTTGCCTTTCTCCAGCAGCTCCTTCTGGGTCTTCTCGAACTCCTCCTTGCCCTGCAGGGAAGGGAAGGGGCACGACATGGGGGTCAGCAACACCAGCCTTGGTGGGGGCGAGCCCCCAGGACACCCCCGCTCCCCACAGCCCTCAAGGCAGAAGGTTAAAAGCAAGATGTGGGTGGCAGAAGCACCACCGCACGCAGAGGTGCCCAAACCGCCGGCACAAAACCCACCCGTGGGGAGCAGCACCCCCTCCCCACGCCCACCTGGAGATGGACGTAGTCATAATCCTCCATCCAGCCGCTCTCGCTGTTCTCGGAGGGCC